TGCCGACATCCAACCAGCACATGAACTGCTGCGGGCAGCGTGTTTCCGCACTTTGAAAGATGCGATGCGCTCAGAGCACCGGCTGCAGCAGGCGCTGCTGTCAGGAATCACCAAGCTGGCTATGTGCCCGACTGAGCTAGTGGGCTCATTACTGATACAGCTTCATGAGATGTGTGACTGCAACCTTTCTGCACTCCTCGGGGTGGCAGCAGGGCGGCCGTGCAGCGACCGTATCTACCCCCAACGGGCTCCCGATGGCCTAGCTGACTCGCTTGCCTTCCTGATGAGTCGCCGGGACCAAGTATCTCGCCGCCTGCTCCGGCTATTGACATGCCCGGAGCGGGAGTGAGTGTCGCCTGCGACATCAATGTGTGGCCCCTGCTCACCCACTGTCATGCTTTGTGTGATGTTTTGTGTGTGCCTTTTTTTTCTTACTTTCTTGCCAACTTTGGTGCCTAATAAACTATGATGATGATGATGATTAGGAAGGAAACGGCAGGCAAAAATTATGCCAAACTCTTTCAGAGTTCACAAAAAAATGTTATTTTCTAAGAGCAACTAACCGCATCAAAAATGATCAACCAATTCGGAGGAAATCGGAGAAATCAAGAATGTTTTTCATCAAACGCAACGCCGAGACATGCCTTATTAACTTAATTTATTTCTGACCAGGATATGGGATACAATCTTATCTAGCTGCAATAATGTGCCTGAGCACAAAATATTTGGTTTAAAGACCCTGTACCTACCGCCGACTTCTCGGAGCGCCAGTACAGGCAACGCGCTACATACCTGAACCTCTGACAAAGGTAGACTTTTTACCCTGCTCAAAAGGATTACTTGAGGCGTGATTAGAAACGTTGATATTTTACAGATATAATTACTTGTGAGGGGATGTCAGGCAGTATTCATACCATTATCTTCAAAAATTAACAAAAATGTAGTATCTATCAAATTGAAAATTACAATTATGAAGAAATCTAGGAATCCTACAATGTTCTCAACGCCCTGTCCCGCCGGAATGTCTCCCATTGGTTTTGTCAATTCCTCCTGAGGCCAGTTTCACCAATAAAAAACAGACGGCTGCGATTATTTTTTAACAGAACGATAGTCTCAAAATGTCATTTACTGCTAAAAATACTAATCGCTGACTTGAAAAATGTAATAACGTAGCTTTTAAGTGCTATATTATTTGGTCAGCAATTACTTTTTCCACCGGTAAATAGGATTTATAGACTATCGTTTTGTCAAAAAATAATCGCAGCCGTCTGTTTTTTATTGGTGAAACTGGCCTCTGAGCAGGATAAAGTCTGTTCTACACTTTTTTTCGTCCGAATTCACAAAGATGAAGTCCAAATTCACAAAGCTGAATTCCAAATTCACCAAGCTGAATTCCAAATTCACAAACCTAAATTACGAATTCAAAAGTCAAAAGTCCAAATTCACAAACAAAAAGTTGGAATTCAAAAAGATAAGATCGAATTTCAAAAAGCAAAAATGTGATTTCAAATAAGTAACAAGCAATTTCACAAACCAAAAATGCAATTTCAAAAAGATAATGCTGGATTTCAAACGTTGTTTCTTGTTGTTTTCTGATGATATGTTACCTAGCTCTTTTAACCCTCGCCCGTAAACGGCGATCTGCCACCTTCGCCCATGCAGGGGGGGGGGGGGTTGGTGCGACCCCCCCCCCTTGGCGTTTGAAAACGGAGCGTCGTAGAGCTTAGCGGAAAAGACCAACGGATTGCTCTCGCCGAGATCTCGCGATTGGTGGTATATTTTTTGGTCCTAGGTCAACATTTGACCTACTTTTGACCGGTCAAAGGTCAAATTTTCGGAAAAATAGACTTTTTTCAACTTTCCGCGGCGATTGCGGCAAAACGGTGGGAGATATCGACTTGAAACCTTCACTATCGTGTTCCTTGATCAATTCTCTATCGTTTGGTATGTATTTCGTTTCCCTAGCTCTAAAAATGGCGCGTTGGGAGCGCCGGAAGTCGGCAAGGTCACAGTCGGCGGCAGAAATTCGAAAAATCAAAATTTAAATTTTTGAAGTCTGATTGTATTTTTGGATTTGGGAGGTCCATTTGCTCCCTATAGAAGCTAATATTGCTGCATATTCCCATTGAGGTGACAAGAATTAGCAAAATAGTGGTTCGGGCGCTTTTCAAAAATAGTACCGGACGCTGTTCCTCTTGTGACGTCATAGCTCCGTGACCTGACCTGACCCGGTCAAGTTTCTTATACCATATGATAGCCAATACTTGCCCCAACATGCATGGGAAGTTTCATCACGATCCATCAACCGATGTCCGTACCACCGGCAGGAAACCTCGGGCGTTGGCACTCAGTTTGTGAAAATCCGGCCGGAGGCTGTTCCCTTTGTGACGTCATAGCTCCGTGACCTGACATGACCCGGTCAATTTTTCTTTATCAAAAGATGCGCAAGGTTTGCCCCATCAGGTACCCAAAATTTGGCGGCGCTGCGCGCCGCCGTTTTTGCACTATTTCCGAAAAACCTCAGGGGGGGGGTTGCACCAACCCCCCCCCCCTACATGGGCGAGGGTTAACATATACCTACAATTTAAAATGACAAAATATTTTGTTTTTTTTCGGATGTAAAAATAATGTTCCTATATCTTCAGAATTTGTCGGTTTTAGCTTATAGTGGATACCTAATAACGTGATAATGAGCAGAGTGGCCATCTGCAGGCACTGATCTCGTTGAAATAAATGCAAGGCAACGGACGGACAGTTTTATTTGCGACTTAGACAAAAACAACGCAAAGCTGCTTGTCTGACAACGCCGTAGGGCACGTTTGGAACTAAGCCACTACAAATCAGAAACATATCTTGAACCTCCATCACTCTCACACGCCCATCGCCAGGTCGGCCAGGGCCACGCACCCGGCATAGTGGCGCTGGACGTGATTGTAGAAGTTCATGCACATCACCGGGTTGATGCACTCCATGGCGGCGTCCATCTTGGCCTCCAGGTAGCGCAGCCGGTGTTCCTGCTGGGTGATGCCGTCAGTCGTGTCCATCATGGCGCTGAATGATGACGCCATGCCCCGCTTCATGTTCGCCTTCACTGCAGACCAGACAGCCTCAATCGGGTTCAACGGCGCGCTGTATGGCGCTGTCCGTACCAGCTCCAGACCAGGGAACTCGGCTGCAACTGCCTCCAGGTCACAGTGTACCGGCGCGTTGTCACAGACGATCGTCACCTGGTCGAGCGGCAGAGGGCAGGCCTGCAGGGCACGTCGCAGCCAGTCAGAGCAGTCCGTCTTCCGAAAGGACCCTCGTCGGCGCTCCCAGTAGATGATGCCGGTCTGCGACATCAGCCCGATGATATGGACGTTGGGGCCCTTACTGGTGGCGGCCTTCACCGAACATCGCAGGCCGCGGCGGGATCGGCCCTGAGAACGCCGCAAAAACAGGTTCGCGTTCGTTTCATCCATGTAGAGCACCGATCTCCCACTCCCCGTCGCCGCCATCACCTTTCGCACGTACTCGGCCCTCTTCTGCTTATTTGCGGCGTTGTTCATGGCCACTGGCTCGGCCACGACCTTCTTCATAGTAAACAGCTGGCCGTGCAGGTGGCGGTGGATGGTCGGGACGGATATGGTGACACCGGTGTCCTGGCGCAAATTGCGACCGATCTCCACGAGAGATATCAATGGATTCTCCTCGACGTAAGTGACCATCTTGTCGACCATCCCCTGGGTAACTTTCTTCTTTGTGGCACCGCCACGGGGACGCGGCAGCTGTCCTTCGGGCCTCGTAATGTACCCGTAGGCAGTGCGGACCGGAATTCCATTCGCTGTCGCAGCCGCCTTCCAGTCTCCACCTTCATTGAACACGGCCACGACCCGCTCTTGGGCATCCCGGGGGATCCGCTTGTACGGCCCACGCCTGGTGCCCGGCGGAGGGCCGCGCCTGCCTCGCGGCTGTGGTGGGCCGTCACCGCCACCGGCAGGTCCAGCTTCGTCAGGAGCTCCGTCAGGAACTGGATTTTCAACCTCTGTCAATTCTACCTCAACTTGCATATCCCCATCATGGTTAAAAAAATGGTCAACCTCCGTTGAGGACTGAGACATACCTGGCTACAATAAAATAAATCACAGCAAGTTATTGACGTTAACAGAGCAAATGAGGTAAGCATCTGTGAGTTCAACGTTCAGAATGATTCATGTGGATTCATAAACAATTGTTGTAAAAAATCACGTGTTCCATGTGCTATTTTTGTTAAATGAGTTCCTCCAAATAGGAATATTACATAATATTAGCAGATGTATTCCTCATGCGGAAATTTATGTACCTTTTCTTATAAGCACCTCTTATAAAAATATAAAATTCAGGTGCAGCAGCTTTGTCTGTAGTTAGTTCAGAATATCTTTTGAAATCAAACATTATCTTTTTGAAATTGCATTTTTGGTTTGTGAAATTGCTTGTTACTTATTTGAAATCACATTTTTGCTTTTTGAAATTCGATCTTATCTTTTTGAATTCCAACTTTTTGTTTGTGAATTTGGACTTTCGACTTTTGAATTCGTAATTTAGGTTTGTGAATTTGGACTTCAGCTTTGTGAATTTGGAATTCAGCTTTGTGAATTTGGACTTCATCTTTGTGAATTCGGACGAAAAAAGGTGTAGATGCCAGAGTTTGCCTGAACACGAATTTTTTAGCTTCTGTATCGACAAATTAACCCCACTCAATACCTTTCACCACGGACTATCCATCTGACGTTGTTTGTAGGTTAATGACAGACAAAATGTTTCAAATATTTGGCTAATGTTAGAGAGGACAATTGAGACTAGTTGGGTTATGAAGCGTCCCTTTCGTAAGTTTTATTTCTGTGAGAACAACTCGACACAGATTGCATTTCGAAACTTTTATATCAAGCAAGCTACAAAACAGCATAGTTTGTCTCAACCCATGATTCGTAACGCGCTTATCTGTTTGCAGCTATAACGCTCCTGTTGTGTGTGTCCGCCAGTCTGCACTGGGTGAACGACCTGCCGGGCTGTTTCGGGCGCGTACTGGCGTGCCTGCGGCCGGACAGCGCGTTCGTGGGTGCCATGCTGGGCGGCGACACTCTGTACCAGCTGCGCTGCGCCCTGCAGCTGGCCAGCCTAGAGCGAGACGGGGTCAGTCAGGGCACGGCGGCTCGGAGAGAGCGCCCTTCGGAGGATGTCTTTGCTAAATATGCCTACCGTGACCGACGTACAGGGTGTCCCATAAGTTCCTTCTCACCTAATTTTTTCTTTTAGAAGCTCTCTTATTTAAGGCCACGCTTAATTTATCTTAATTTATTTTGTAACTGTGCTTTTGGGGTTGCCATGGTAACTGTGAATATGCTCCACGGTAACTAATTCGTCTAGACAAAATATTTTTTGCTAGAGAGTTCACTTCCTCTGGAGACGGCTTACGCCGCAACATACAGGTCTCCGATACGGGTACGTCTCGGTATTTAGTCCGCACGTGGGCCATTCGCGACGGTTGAGGGTGATTGAGGCCATCCAGTCTGTAGCCAATGTCTGTCGCTAACTGGAGGCAGTCAGCAAGTGACGCCGATGATTTGTCGGGAGTCAATCGCTGCAAGTTCATGCACTTTTTTGTCAGCTCTCAGGAGTGAGCCATGTGGCCAAAACTGTGTGGCGTCAAAGTGGCCGTCAAAAAGGTCTTAGCGTTAGAAAGTTGGATAAGCAGACTTTTCAGGATGAATTACCAGCTGTCTAAGAGTATTATTTCGGGGTACATAGCTCACGTTCACTTGGGCTTAAACTTAACGGAGGACGCAAAACAGTCCAAAATGTCTTAAAATGGCCAAACATGTGTTTCGTTATGCCTGGGGCTAAAAAAAACTGGAGGGCCGATGACATCAATGAGGTCATCTGGACTAGCTAGTCCGTGTTCGAGATAAAACACCCGTCAAAATCCCAAAACGTTCCCATATGGGCGACGGAAAAGGCCTCCGTGTCATTCCGCTTTACTCCTATGCAAAAGGCCAGGGTCACGGTAATATGGGGTAATATGCGTCCAGACGCTGATCAGGTTGCGATTGACACTCCAGAAACAGTGTTGGGACGCAGAATGCTCCTCCAAGAAGATCTAGGAGGAGTTTCAGCCTTCTAGCTGAACTCGAACCGCCGGTATGTACACATTTTTTTTAGGAGAAAATGGCATCCGGGAGGTCGTAGGCCCATCTTCAAGCAAGACAGTGTATCAGTGCACAAGGTCAAGCAAAGCTTAAAAGCAGTGCCAGGAGACTGTGATAGGCGTCCGTGGCAAGATCACCCAGGCAACTCATTTGACCCAAATTTCATAAAAATGTGTTTGAAATATTGAAATCGAGAATCGTCGAAGCGAAGCACTGTTCAGCCTCGAGGAGCTCACGGCGCATGTCAAGTCAGTCTGGGCTAACTTCAAACCTGCTAAGCTGCCAAACATGCCGGTTGGCATGCCGCAGCATGTATTCATGTGTTTACCTATGAAATGGGGAGCACATTAAGGGCTCATAAACATATCAAAACGCTATGTACTCTGTTTTACATGAAAATATAAGGTGAGAACGCACTTATGGGACACCCTGTAGAAAGGAGCCGACTTGTCACCTCGTTCAGAGAGGATGTGATTGCGAGCGGGCGAAGCGAAATCTCGTAGAATAACGGAAATTGATGAATACTCAGTGTTTGGACCACACTATACGTGCCTTGTGCACAACAAAGAGGTGTCAATTTAGTAACAACGAGTAAAACGCCTTTTGGGGCGGCCAATAAAGCGAGCTAGAGGGTGGGCCTTGGCCCTTGCACGTACGAAATTGCGCAGTAGCACCCCAGCTGTGGCACATGGTTATGCATTGCCCAGTGGGTGCCTACCCATATGCTAACTTTCAGCGCAACCGGCCCGGCTGTTACGAAGATATTGCAATTGTTAAAAAACTGACTCATCTTCGTTTTGCACGTGACACGTGCATAAGAGGTCACCCACATGCATCGGGAATAGTCCAATACTTGGTAGAAAGAATGAGGCTACCCTAAAAAAAATACCGCATGTAAATCGGTCAAGTGGTTGCTGAGATAAAAGTTCGCGAAAGCGTCCGAATGGCCGGCCGCTCATACTAAAAAAATCCGTTAATCTACTAAAGACTATGCACGCTTCCATCGCTCCGTAATGACCAGTACAACGCCTTTTGGGGCGACCAACAGAGCGAGCGAAAGGGTGTGCCTTTCACGTGCGAAATTCCCAGGGGCTACCTCCTATGATTTTGTGCACTGCACCCTACTAACCGGTCCCTGGCGATGTGCCAAATTTGAGCGCAATCGGCCTAGCCGTTCTCGAGATGTGGAAGCGGCACCCTGCACGTGCAAAATGGGTCCCAACTGTGGCACCTGGATATGCATTGCCTAGTGGGTGCCCTCCTACATGCCAAGTTTCAGCTCAATGGCCCAGTAGTTACTAAAATATTGCAATTGTTACAAAACTGGCATCTCTGTTTCGTACGTGGCACATGCATAAGGTGTCGCCCACATTCATCGGGAATAGTCCAGTACTTGGTAGAAGGAATGAAGCTACCCTACAAAAATTATTACGGAGCGAGCGAAGCGAGCGTAGTCTTTCCCGCTTAGATTAACGGAAATTTCTGAGTATTAGCGGCCGGCCGGCCGGCCGGCCGTGGTCACGATTCTGTGACGCTTATATCTCAGCAACCACTTGACCGATTTACACGCGGTAATTTTTGTAGGGTAGCTTCATTCCTTCTACCAAGTATTGGACTATTCCCGATGCATGTGGGTGACCCATTATGCACGTGCCACGTGCAAAACGAAGAGGTGTCACTTTTGTAATTGTTGCAATATCTCGGTAACTACTTGGCCGATTGCGCTGAAAGTTGGCATGTACATAGGTAGGCACCCACTAGGCAATGCATATCCATGTGCCAGAGTTGGGGTGCTGCTGCACGTGCGCACGTGCAGGGGTCGATTCCAGATCTCGAGAACGGCTGGACCGATGGCGCTCAAATTTGGCACATGGTCAGGGACCGGTTAGTAGGGTGCCGTGCAAAAGTCAGTTGTGACCCATTTTGCACGTGCGCACGTGCAGGGTGCCGCTTCCAGATCTCGAGAACGGCTGGGCCGATTGTGCTCAAATTTGGCACATCGCTAGAGACCGGTTAGTTATAGGGTGCCGTGCACAAGTCAGCTGGAAGTAGCCCGTCGAAATTTCGCACTTGCAAGGCTCACCCTCTCGCTCGCTCCGTTAGTCGCCCCAAAAGGCGTTATACTGGTTACGGAGCGAGCGAAGCAAGCGGAGTCTTACGCAGGGTTGTATACCAATCAAGTCGATTGAATTGATTGATTTGATTCAACGCGTATTTTGAGTTGATTGGATTGAGTCGATTGACTTTTCGAGATGACTGGTTGACTGACTCGTTTGACTTTAGCGACTGGTTGACTGATTTGATTCCCGAAAATTAGAGTGACTCGTATGATTGAGTCGATTGAATGGAAAGTTGAAATAAGTTTTAGTTGACGAAAAATAAGGACACCAATTGATGACATCAAAGATCACAAAACTACACTGAAAACTGCTTGTCATCACAACTGCAATATGGGGTAGATGGCCAAATAAAGAACAGGGCCTAAACATGAACAGCCAACTTGACTTTGACTTTCAACTGCAATAACTGCTCCAATCCTGTGATAGAACCTGGCGATGCACCTACCTACCTTTCTGCACTCAGCAGGAAACTTTTTTTTAATCCAGATGATAAAGTGCAAGGCCCTATATACTAATAAAGTGTGATTAATTACTAATTCACGTCTCCACATCTCCTCAGAAACAACCCACTGAACTCTATAAATATCTGAAACCCCTACAAAAATAGCTGAAACAAAAGCGCCGTTTTCGTCTCGCTAATTACGTTTACATTAATAGGCATGGGCGCCGCCACCGGGGGGGACGGGGGGGACGCGTCCCCCCCCCACTCTCAGAATGGAAGGGGGACGTCCCCCCCAAACTCATTACGGAGCGAGCGAAGCGAGCTTAGTCTTTCGTAGATAACGGAAATTTCTGAGTGTGAGCAGCCGGCACGCTTTTGCGAGGCTTATATCTCAGCAGCCACTTACCGAATTACATGCCATAATTTTCGGTAGGGTAGCTTTATACCTTCTAACAAGTGTTGGACTATTCCCGATGCATGTGGGTGACCCCTTATGCACGTGCCACGTGAAAAATGAAGAGGTGTCAGTTTTGTAACAATTTTGGCAAAGAAAGTTGGCATGTATAGGTAGGTACCCACTAGGCAATGCATATTCATGTGCTACAGTAGGGGTGCTGCTGCACGTGCGCACGTGCAGGGGTCGATTCCAGATCTCGAGAACGGCTGAACCGATTGTGCTGAAATTTGATACATGGTTAGGGACCGGTTAGTAGGGTACCGTGCAAAAGTCAGTTGGGACCCATTTTGCACGTGCGCACGTGCAGGGTGCCGTTTCCAGACCAGAGCTCGAGAACGGCTAGGCTGATTGCGCTCAAATTTGGCACATCGTTAGGGACCGGTTAGTAGGGTGCAGTGCACAAGTTAGTTGGAGGTACCCCCTTGCAATTTCGCACGTGCAAGGCCCACCCTCTCGCTCGCTCCGTTGGTCGCCCCAAAAGGCGTTTTACTGGTTGTTATCCATACCCGAAATTTGCTTAGGCCCGTCTGTCCAATGAGACCATTTCAGAGCCGGAAGGATGAAAGAATTAGTGGGAGACATTGGTCTGGGCAGCCACCAGCCCAGCCCACTCGCATTCACTGCACCCGGCAAAGGACTATAGCTCCAGTGGAGCCATTCCGCATGGGATAGTTGCCCATCCAGCCCGGAGCAGGGGGTAGCGGTGTGGAGGAGAAGGATTTGACTGTCCTGAGGATGGAAGAGATAGAACGGTGCCGAATCTGAGAGGGTCCAGGATGAGGAGGTTTACATACTCAGTATATGGGGTGTGGGCCTACATGCATTGGTCTGACTCCTGACACCTCGGCCAACAAAATCTCCAGCTCTTGTCCGACCTGTTATCGCGGAACTGCCGATTTTTGATATCGTGATCAACGTGTGTCGTATAACACGACTGGTCGAAAATGGGCCTAATATATTTCGTCAAA